ACTTCGACAGGTCATAACTTCTTCGTTATAACTCGGATTTCGGCATTCTTTATATATCCAGAAACCTTGACACATATACTACAACTTGGTTAAGATTAATCCTTCTAAATAATCTTCCATCAAAAAGTCATTTTTGATGCTTATCGTCGCTAAATTGACTAGCCCGGATCTACGGGCGTTACAATAACCAAAAGTCTAAGTTGTTTGGCCCATAACTAGGGTAAAAGACCATTTTACCCTTTATCTAACTTGGCCCAAAGCCAAGGCCCAACTCAGCTATTCAAAAGGCCCAAATCCTAAAGCCCAATTTATGGCCCACTCTTCTAAATTGGGCCCAATACCCATCATGGTCCTAAAATACAAGGAAGCCTAACATGCTAGCCCTAAGCCCAAAACATAGGTCTAATGGCCCAACTAGGCCTAAAATTTCAAATCCACACTATGGCCCAATACCAAAAATGGCCAAGCCCAAAACGCCCCCTGTTGAGTATGCGGGGCGTACTCAGATCGTACGCCCAACGTACTCCCCTATCCACATGTATTCTTCATTAAGCACTTAAATAGTTAAGCCCTTTCTCCAAACTATCAGATCTAGTCCCTAAAGGTGACTTATCACGTAAAGTTGGCAACTTTACATACATACATAGTTTAATGAGACTCAAAACCTCAAAAAGTGTTTAACAAAGGTCTTAATACATGCATGGATCAAAATACTCCATAAAATTGACATTTTTATGAACTTGGGGACTGAATGGAGCTAAGATCTAGCATCCATTACTTATGGAGTAGATCAAAAGCTCAACTTTCACACAAAAGACTCAAAAGTGCACAAAATACCCCATAAACTAGATCTAACATATATGATCATCAAGGTGTGAGCTTTTTACCTCAAAAAGATTGCAAATGAGAAGCTAACCCTGGATCTACAAGCTCAATCCACTCCTTCAAGTGTTCCTCTTCTTCTTCTCCTTCACAAACCACCAACAAACACTCTTTCAAGCTCAAAACTCACCAAATCACTCTAGGGTTTTGATTCCAGGGGAAAGAGAGGTGGAGGCTGGTCTAAAATGTCGAAGATATGAGTTTAAGTCGTTTAAATAGGGCACAAACCCTAAAAATTAGGGTTTGTCCCAGCCTTGCGTACGCCGTGCGTACTCCATGTACGCCCTGCGTACGTGGATTGAATCCGCGATCAACATTAGGCTAGTACGTTAAGCGTACTCATAGAGTACGCCCCGCGTACTAGCAAGGGACCAAATTGATAATAAATTGAATTAAGGGTTGAAAGAGAAACTTACCAAAACTTGAATGTTACATAATCATATATAATATAAGGTGTATTTTAAATCTGTTCAAAATACGAGGTTTAATATTAATTATCTAGATTATCATATAATTAATTAATCAATTTAAACATATTATGAATTTATCTTTTAATTACATTACTATTAAATTAATTATTAAATTCATAAGAGATAATTCAATTTAATTTATCTAATTAAAAATTATCAATTAAGGATATCTCATAATATTTAGGGTTTTATGGATTATCACACAATTCATTCAAAATTCGGAATCTAACAAAATTAATATAGGATAATTACCAAAAATAACACCATAAATCTGATTAGGAGGATAATTACCGAAAATATGGAAAATTGTTTGCCACGTCGTGGCAGAAGCACTGCCACGTCGTGTAAACAGGTTTTTGTGAAAAACATGTTTTGTTCAGTTCATCTCAAGTGCAATCAATGTTTCACAAACCTAAGATCTGATACCACTGTTAGGTTTTATAAAAAACAAAATTATACAATGCGGAAAACAATTAACAATTAATAGAGTACATGCATCCTATAGAAGATCTATGTCACACTTTGATAGCAACATACAATGAACAACTAAACCTAGCATAACCCTAGTGTAATTCGAAATTACCAAGAATAGAGTTACATACCTTTTGATTTGTTGTAGTAAACAAATCACTTCAATCTCCTTGTAGTGTAGGTCTTGGAAATCTTAGCACCAAAAGGATGATGCCTCTAATGGCTCACACCCAAACCCTAGAACTAAAAGACAAGAGGAGAGAGGGGAGAGGATATTTTCGGAAAGAGTATTCTCTAGGGAATCTTATGAACAAAAATCATAGGCCTTGGGGTCTTATTTATAGTTTATGTAACTTAGGGATAAAACAATATTTGAATGATTAAATAATAGATTTAATTTCAGTTTAAATCATTTCTTTATTTAGTACCATGAAGCGTCTGGAAACCCTAGAACCCCTCTCTAATTTCGTTCACCCCTATATAGGTTCTAGAATTTTCGTTCCTTTCTCAATTATGAACAATTACAATTCAACCATTGAACCTTTAATTAATTCCAATTAATCTCGAGTTAATTCCAGATTAATTCTGATTAATAATTAGTTAATTCTAATTGATTTCATAATAATTTATTAATCATAATAAATTAACAAATCAATTTTCTATTTCTAATTAATATATTAATCACATAATATATTAAAAAGTTATTTCCTCATAAGTTCCAATTAGTTTATCAATCATATAATAATGTAATAAATTATCCTCTCTCTACAAATGTCATTCTAACCAAGTTCTAGTTATGAGGGCAACCCAAAAAGGACTTTGTTTCTAATTACAAAAATATATCAATTTAGTTACTGGCTTAGACACCTTATTCCAACAGTTATGCATTATGATACATGCATACATGATATCTCGTAGAGTATATAACTCATAAGGTCGTGCTGCATGTCAACTATGCTACATTTTGATTTCAGAACTCCAAAAACACGTTCCACGTCCTTATGTGCTCCTTATTGTTGTCTCTTGAAAATTTGTCTTTTGGGTCTACTAGGTGTCGAAACGTCTTCACAAATGTGGAATATGGTGGATATATTCATTTTCATTCACTGTAAAAGGAGCATTTGGTGCCTTTCCTGACAAAAAGATCATCGAATATTGGCGACTGATCAAGAATGTTGACGTCATTGTTGGAACCTGCAACCCCGAAATAAGCATGTCAAATCCATAAATCTTGGGAAGCAACAACCTCTAATACCAACGAAGGCGCTCCATGGTGACCGCTTGCATATTGGCCTTTTTACGCCACAAGACAATTTCTCCAGTTCTAGTGTATGCAATCAATGCTTCCAAGCATACCCGGAAAACCATGTCTATCTTTATGCGCCACATATAGTTGTTGCATATCATTCAACGAAGGCCACGTAAGTATTTGTCATCGAAGTATTTGTCAATGGAATCGGGCGACTCCCCCATAGCCATCAGCTTAATTGTCGCAACACATTTCTGCAACCTTGTGAATCCTCGATTACCTCTAACATCATATCTCATTTGGAAAAATTTATACCTAAACATATATTTAACAGGTAAAAATTGTATTTATTTTTTCTAGAAGCGACATTTATAAATTACAAAACTTGAAAGAAACAATACATTTCTTCCAAGGCGTTGACTATCCGTTCAAACACATTTTTTCGCAAATGAAACATTCTTTTGAAATCGCTTGGCTGGTAGACATAATTATCCGCAAAATAATTGTTAACAAGACGTCTATGCCCTTCTTCGCGATCTCTATTTAACGTCGCATGTCGTGTGAGTAGTGGAGCTGGATCGGGTTGTAGTAGCACGTTCATAGAATATCGGTACATCATAGTCACAAAGATATTGTTGTTGTCGTTATCATCGTTGAACGGGTGGAACGGATCAAACGGATCCATTTTTTTTAAATTGTTGAAAATTTTATGAAATAGAGAGAAATAAAATAGAATGACGCTTAAAAATTAGATGTAGTCTATGTATTTATAGGTAAAAAAATTTGAATATAACCATTTAAAAACGGTCAAATGGGAAACCAATTGACTAAATGTAGTTACCCTTTGTCACCGTGACTACGGCCAACAATATAACGCCTAAAACCGCCGATGCAGAGCGGTGTTGCAGCCACAATAACAGCGTTATTAGGTGCCAAGTGACAATAACGGCTTACGCCGTTGCCTACATCCGACGTTGTGATATAATTCATATTAGAAAAGATTCCCCGGCGTTGCCGGGATCGGAAGGTATTGCTTTATAAAGTAAAGTAGCATGTTGGTTGCTTTTTGTCCGTTAATGTGAGGGTAATTTGGTCTTTTCAGGTAGTAAGGACTGAATTTGTTACCATGGGTAAACCATATGGACCATTTATGTAATTTTGGCGGTGACGGTGGTGGTGATGGCAGATGGGTTTATGGTATTGGGTGAGTATTTTCTAATAAATAAAACATTAATTTAAAACCAAAAAGAGAATGTTAAATTTGATAAACCACATGGACCAATCGTGTAATTTTGTCTAACAATAACAATAATAATAATAATGAGGGACCATTTCTGCCAAAAGACTAAATACTAATAATATGTAATAAAAGGCGGGGGTTATGAAAAATTCAAACCAAAGTGAAAGGGTTGTTTGTGAACAAAAGCATAAAGATAAAGGGTAAAATTCAAACCAAAGTGAAAGAGTTATTTGTGAACAAAAGCATAAAGATGAAGGGTCAATGTTGTAAGTTGGATGACCAAAATTGACAAAAAAAAAGAAATTCACTTTACTGTTAAAATCTTTCATAACTTTAATATATATACTAGCTGGGGTGCCCAGCTCCGCGGGGGTCGGTTTTGATCAGAGTTTTATTTTTGTCTTTTTGGGTGTGTATTATGGCTGTTTTTGCTTTTGCTGGGGACTATATGAAAGCCATAAAAAGTTGAATATAGAAACATAGTAATGCAAAAAAAGGAATCATTTTCTTGTGTCCATTGGTAGCAAATCCTCTTTTATCAAATATCAAAAACAAACAAAAAGAAAGTCAAAATAAAAACCCAAATAAAAAAATGTGCTCTAAAATGATTCCAAATACAGTTAAAACTTGCAGCAATTGCCACAAGCTCTTCTAGAAGCTGTTCTAAATGTCGCAGAGGCTATTTACAACACCAAATCAACAAACATTATTAAATCAACAAAGCAAAACTATATTTTAGTGTCATGAAATTCACCCATTGTGTTGGACCATCAACCGGAGCATTAAGTGGATCATTATGCACCTGATTTTACAAATATGCCCTTTGATTTTACAAATATGCCCTTAGAAACCCGTAAACTACAGATCCCAAATGCTATTTAAAAACTATATATTCTTATTTCATACCTCCATAAAAAGCCCATCCACTCCCACAACGACAGTTGTCCTTGCAACACAAGGTATCAGTTCCTGGAGACCTCCACTACCAACACCACCACCTTCCAGCTTTTTCCCAGCAGGTTGGTGCAATGCATGTGTCACATCTGCTACAGAAGTTGAATAAACTTGCAATAATGGCAAAACTGTAAATACCAATAATGGCAAAACTGTAAATACCAATCAACTTACCTTCACAATATTGTCAGCATACTTCATCACCATGGACACAGCAATCCCACTGCAAATAAATAAACATTTTTATTTTTATTTCAATTAAATCTTATTAAAAAAAAAACACATCTTTCAGATCTTGGTATAAATAACATACCTTAGGGCATGGTTGATAATCATGAGAACTGTAATCAGTGAATATCCATGGAAAAATCCCCTGCACAAAAGACAAAAATTGTAGTTAACAATGTATTGATAAAAATATGAGAAGGGCATTTACATCTTTTACACAGAGTATAAGAAACATACTTGTTGACAACAGCATCAAAATCTTGGATAATGATTGCAACAACATTGAAAGCCATCCCAAAAACATATAACCAGAAATTCT